TTTTCCCTTCCCTGCATCTGTTCCTGTCACTCTCCACCTCTTGGGGACCCAAGATCCTTCAAGGGCCAGCCTAGTGAATGATGTGACCGAAGCCACCTCTTTCTGCCACCTCATTGACTTCGTTGGCCCCAGCTACTGGTGCTCCCAGCTTGCACTGATTGCTTGGCCAACCCTTACTGCCCAGGCCAGCACTTCTGCTGTTATCTTGGGCAGCTAATGCATTTTATGGGGCAGTGGCTTATCTTCTTGTTAGACGATAAACCTCTGAGAGCAGGAGCTGGGCCTTGTGCCCAGGAACGCTCCACAGGCTGGATTTGTGGGCCCCAGGGGGAGGACCAGCGATGCTGTCCCTGGAGATGTGATTTGTGCAGATGTGGGCCTGGGCATTTGCAATCCTTGCCCCATTCGTCATTTCCAGGCACTGACAAATGAGCCTCCCCCCTGTCACTGCAGTAACTCCCTCCACCTCGTTATTCACGGCACACAATCTCCCAGGTTACTTAAGGCTTCTCATTTATGCCTGGATACAAAGCCTCTTCCACCCGAGGCTGCTTGGGAGAAATTTATAGGCAAGGGTGTTGGAAAAACAGCCATGTGAGGAAGAGCTCCAGGGAGCAGGGCAGCAGGTCGGGAGGCTGGTTGACTGGGACATGGGCAGACTCAGCCCCTTCTGCCCTTCAGGAACACCCTTGCTTCCAGGGAGGGTGTCCCCAGTACCTGGTCAAAGTGTGCCTCACCCCCCTCCTTCCAGGAGAGCAAGAGGGAGCAGGGCTGGCCAGGCCCAACGCTGTGCTGCTGTGTGTGCGAATCGCAGCTTTACAGAAAGAGCAGGTTACAGCAGTAGCTGGGGATGGTGACACTTCTGCCTGTCTTACTGTCCACTGTTCTCTGATGGATAAAGTGTTCATTTCTAGATGTTTGAGTTTGATGCTTCCTAGAATCCACCTGTATTTTTCTCCTACTACCCCTTTAGGTATTAATTATTTCATGTGTTTACAGTCTCTGATAATTGTTATCATAAGTCCTCAGGGATCTCAGCCTGCTACTTGTTGTGGCTAAATCTCCACATGGCCTGTGTGTGTCAGTGTGCTATGTCTATGCTGAGTGTGTAGGTGTGGTGTATTGCGTGGTACATGCTGTGGATATCCATGTGACCTGGCGTGCATTAGCAGATCCTGGCTGGGGCAAGGTGAGCATGTGGCTGTCCAGTTTGACTTTGCTTCAGCTCCTGGCAGGGGCTGTAAGTATTACAGTCAGAGACCATGTTTTTTTGTTAATTTCCCAGCTTGGGTGTTTTCCCAACCATCCAGGTCATTCACATTTGAACCACAGTGAACAGACCTTTGCTTATGAATATGAGACGTGTTTGACGTTCATATTCCTGCCTGCCTGCCTTGTGCCAGTGAATTTTTGCACAGAGAAAGTCTCCCCGTCTTTGTGAGTGCATTAGATCTCCACTCCCAGCTTTATGGTGGGGACAGGAGATCTCATCTCAGTCCCCTACCTCTCATACACCCAAGACTTTGTCATTGTCCACATAGCATTTAAAGCCAGGGCTTCTAGGACCCCAAGACTGACCTCTGTCTTCTTCTTTTCTCATGAGCTCTGCTCTTCTTGCTGTGTTTTCTGCAGCTCCTCTGAGTTGGAGACGGGAAGGTTTCTGGCTACTGCTGTGCCATCAGCTTACGTACTCTGTTGCAGAGGGGGCAGCTGGTAGCCCAAGCAAAAGGCAGCCATGGACTTGAGTCAGTGAGCGTGTTTTCACCTGTATCACGTGTGTTATGTAGGAACATGTACCCTTATGCATGTGTGACCCTGGTTTTCTTTCCTGTGTGCACGTGTATCTGTGTGTGCATGAATGTGTGCATTTGTGCATGTGTATCTGTTGATATATCTGCTTGTGTGCATGTGTGTGCACATGTATGTCTGTGTGTACACGTGTCTGTGTATGCTTATCTGTTTCTGCTGAGTCAGTGGGCAGTCTTTTTCCTGAAGATATAGAAGAGTCTTTATCCAGTGTCCTCTGAGGCCACCACCGTGTGAAGCAGGGGGAAGTCAGGTCAGTCTGTGCTTGCCGAGCTCAGATAGAGCTTCACGTCACCTCCGCGTCAGGATTGCAGTCCCAGCTGGGAGCACCCACTGCTCAGTCCTTAGCCCTTAAAGATCAGATGTGCCACACTTCTGTCCACAGGCCTCTGAGGTACCACGGTCACCCCAAGATTAGGGCACCTTTTTGCACCCCAACCCAGGCCCAAAGTCTGCAGAAAATGTGTCCTATTCCACCTGCCTATTCTTATCCCTAAAGCACCAGTATGTCTTCATGTCCAGGAAGAAAAAATCATTTAAGCGAGGTGTGGTGGCTCATGCCTGTGAGCCATCCCAGGACTTGGGAGCTTGAGACTGGTGGATCGCCTCAAGTGAGTAAGAACCTGTCTTAAAAACCAAAAAAAGAAAGAAATCATTTAAAGCATAATCTAACATGTTCCCGCCGACTTGAAGCAGAGGTGGTACATGCATGACTGTCGCATCAGGCGGTTTGTACCACTGGTCATACAAATGAATCTAATCACTTTTGTCCATCTTTTTACTAATAAAAAGCCACGCAGTTGGGACGCTCATGCCTGTACCACGGGGATGACTCAAGCTGTCTGACAGTGAGACGTACGAATTACAGCCCCGTCGTGAACATGTTAAATCAAAACTAGGTGCCAAAGTCCCGCATAAAGAGCATCACACTCTTCCAGGCCAGAGTGAGCATTCGGCATGCGGCGTCTCCTCCTCCCAGCTCTCCCTAGGGGTGTAGGGAAGTGTCAGTGCGGCTGGCAGAAATGCCCCAGACCAGGCTGCACTTTGCAGGTGGAAACTGGGTCAGCCTTCCCTTCACTGGTGCTTCAGTAAGCCATGCCTTGCACTTGAAATTGCTTTTTTTCTTCTACAGAAGCCAGGGAGACAAGGAGGGTTGTCTCTCCCAAGAGGTGTCTGTAGCAGGAAGCCTTGTGCAGGAGAGGGCGCCCACCTGCCCCAGTCTCCATTCTTGTAGAATGGGCTAGTGTCGCCTGCCCAGGCCGATGGCACAGCTTCTCTTCTCTCTCCTCCCCTTCTCTCCTCCCTCCCCCTCCCTCCTCTCCCTTCTCCTCCCTTCCCTTCCCTTCCCAAAGCCAGCTAGTCCCAGTACAGCCTGCAGTCATCTGCAAGTCACCTGCCTCAGGCCCACTGTCCCCATTCCCTTGAGGATGGCCACCTGGGCCCCAGAGGTTAACATCTGCTGGGGCAGGGCTGCATCTCCCATAGCCAAGGGAGCACTGAGGCTCTATGGGGACTTTGTATGTAAAGAGGGAGCTGGTTCTGAGGCTGCCCATGGCAGGGCTTGACTCAGGAGCGCTGGCTGCACCAGGCACTGGCTTCTGCCCTGCCTTGGTAGGAATGCGTCTTGCTGCTATGACTTGGATTTTACCATCCTCATAGGCTGTTGGAACTGAGGCAGAAGCTGCTAGCAACTACCTGAGTGCTCTCATCGTAAATACGGGGCTGTCTGAGAAGGGAAGCGGGGGGCCTCGCCTCGCCTCGCCTCCCCAGCTGTTCCTGACATCTTTCATGTTGAGGAAGCATTGCACTCACAGATACCCAATTATCCTGTAAGGTTTGTAAGGCAAGTCTGAAAGCCGATTGAATCTCACAGAACCGTTTCTGCATAACAACTACTTAATACCCAATCATAACAATTATATATAATTTGTGTTTACTGTGCCTGGAAGATTAAACTCCTCCGCACAGGCATTCTCTATAACATGCCTAGAACGTGCAAGGCAAGCAGGGCCACCACTTGGCATGCCCACGGGCAGCCCACAGCACTCTGCAGACAGCTGCCTGGTGCTGGAGGGGCAGGGTGGAGGCTGCCAGGGTCTCTGCTTCTCAGCCAGGACCTCACGAGGGCTGAGCCAAGCTGATACCTGGCAGGGAAGCTCTTGCCCAGGCCTTGGGAAATGGGGGAGGGCAGCTGGCCACCACTGCCCCCTCATCAGCTGGATTCAGCTAGCCAGCTAGTGTGCCCTAAAGACCAGGGCAGAACCTGTGGGGCAGCTCAGTCCCTAAGAGCTCAGGATCTCGGGCAGAGATGAGGCCCTGAGGTCCTGAGGCATGTGAGGAGAAGGGAAGGGCCTGGTCTGAGCCACCCGAAGGCCTGGGTCGTGCAGCCTCCCTCAGGATCAGCACTGATGTGGTCAGGCTGGTCCATCAGCTATTGCAGCTGTCTCCAGGATCTGTCCCAGGAGAACCCAGCATGAAGCGACATCTCAATGCCGCCACAGACACTTGTCCCTACTGCTGGGCTTTGCCAAGGCTGGGCCATGGTTCTCTGCAAGCTCATCACCCTCCTGGACTTGCAGGACTCTCCTGGAGGCCTGCTCTGGGCCTGGGGCCAAGATCCTGACTTGCCCTCTGGACCTTGCTGCTGGGCCTTCCTGCTTGGGGAGGAAGTGGGTTGACTGCTCTCCCAGGCAGGGAGAGGTAGAGCCTGCTACCCAGACTTCCTGCCACCTCCCTGCAGGGACCCCGCTCTCACTGCCGTCTGCCCCACAGGACAGTGCTTGGGCCAGAGGGCCTCAGGTTTCCCTTGTCCGTGTGTCCAGCCCCATCTGGTATGGCAGGTGGTGGTCATTAGACAGTCACCGGGAGACCCTAGCAGCCGTACGGAAACATGTGGCCCCTGCCCTAGCCTGTATCCCATGTCCAGGACTCCAGTAGTCCGTCTGTCCTGATAAGTGCTGGGACAGCGAGGCTGGTGAACGCCCCCGGCTCAGGGCCAAGCCCTGCAGGGCCCCCAGCTTCCTCCCTGCACACACTGACCTATGGTTCTGTGGCCTGTGACCTGGGCCCTCAGACTCGTGCAGGGTATGTCTTGGGGACACAGCAGAGCAGGGCCTGGGCCGAGGCTCTGCCCTTGGAGGTGGGCGCTCTGCATGCTGCAGTGACCCCACCCTAACGTGACTCTCTCCTTGCAGCCTGTTCCAGCACTATTGCTACTCCCGGGGTGGCATGCGCCATAACTCCTACACCTGCATCTGCTGCAGGTAGGTGCATCGTGGGTCTCACAGGAGGGGGAGGGTGGAGGGAGAAGCCCCCCCACCCCGGTCACAAGCACTTGCTCACACACACCCACACTAGTGCCTGCCGCTGAGCCCAAAAGTCTGTCTCACATCTGAGGCCCTGGGACCAAGGTGGCCTCTGCCCACCAAGCCTGATGCCAGGTGAAGGAAGGAGTTCAGCCCGCCCACTGCAAGAGAACTGTCCACAGTCCCGTCCCCAGCTGGTGGACATTAGAGCTGAGTTTGAGGGGGCCACCTCTCCTGGGCCAACACGAGCCTTCCTCAGCCTCCACACAGGTGCACGCAGAGCACAGGGCCGGGCTGGGAGCTCAAGCTGGGCCACTTCCGGGTGCAGCGGATGTGGAATGCGCCCGTGTGGGGGCTGCAGCTGTGTGTGCCCTTGTGGCTGTGCGTGCAGCTTTCCATGTAGTGCACAGGGACCATCTTGATGGGGGGGTGCCTGGGAAGGTGTATGTGTCACTACAGATGTGTCACATTGTGGCTGAGGGGCTCAGCATATGCCACTTGTGTGTGCCTGGTGTGCCTGGTACCATGAATCAGGCAGCTGCTAGGAACAGCTACGGTCTCCGGGGCAGGCACAGCTCTGAGTGTCTCTGGCTGCTTGTGTCACTCTGGGTGTGACTGCACAGGGATGTGGCTGTGGATGGCTCCTTTGTCTCTGAAGCTCACCCCACCTCATCTCCTCAGTTCTTCCCCTCGGGTGCTGCCCCTGCCCAGCCAGGACGGAGCTGGGCGGCTCTGCTGATGTGTGCGTCCTCGCACATGAATAATACATGTGAACATCTCAGTCCTTGGAAATGCTCTTCTCTGGTGGATAGAAAGAAAAATCATTATTTCTACTTTTATGATTCCTGAGGCTCCCGAATGGGGCCATAAATATTACACACAGGTGGGGTGCTCCCCCCGCCTTTGGACAGACTTAAAAGTCCTTTTTTCTGAAAGGCGTTGCTCATTAGGGAAGCGCTTGGTAGCAGAGAAGCGAGGAGCTGTGAACTTCCTGTCTTCACAGCCCTAGCCAGGCCCCTCTCCCTTTTACAACTGGGAAAAGGGGATTCCCGGTCCCTTCCCCGGTCCCATGAACTACTGCTCCCCACCTCTGTCCTTTACATGTGCCGCCCACATCCCCAGCACAGAGGGCAGCTGCCTGAGCTGCACCCTGAGCCGGGAAGCCCTCCAGGCGGCACTTGTGTGAACCGAGGGACGGCACCGGCTGTGTGCCAGGCTGTGGGCCTGGTCCAGCCTCCCGTTCGCCTCTGTTGCAGGGTAGGTGGTATTGTCCATGGGCAGGGGAGCCGGCTCAGCCTCCCGGGCCCCTCTGGGTAGGGCTGCGCTTCTGACCACCCTCCTGGCTCTTCTCAGTGGTGAGAATGCCGCGGTGCTGCACTACGGACATGCTGGGGCCCCCAACGATCGTACGATCCAGGATGGAGACATGTGGTAAGTGAGGCCACCCCAGCCCCAGTTCTGGGCGGGAACAGCACCTCCTAGGTTAGACTCTTAGTGTCAGGGTGGAGCAGGAGCCTCGGTGTCCCTGTCCTGAGAGAGCCGACCACACTGAACGCCTTAGACCTACACAGCACCCTCTTCTGGCCAGTGGCCTGTAACCTGCAAGGAAGCACCATGAGAGTAGGGAGAGACGACAGGGTGCCCTGGGGCTTCCTATGCAAAGCACATGGGCAAGGGTCTGTGGACACCCACGGGTGAGACCCCTACTGAGTTACGTGATGCTCCCACCATCCTCTCTGCCGCCCAGACATCTGCCAGGACCCGTCCAGTCAGCACTGAGCTTGCAAGAGCCACCCAGATGTCAAGGCCTGGGGCTCAGCCGCAACCTCTGTGGGCTCCTCTGACTAGCAGAAGGGGCTCCTGGCCCTCTTGGTTCTTTGGCACCCTTCCATCCATTGCAGATACACTTGAATGCGGCTCCTTCAGGGCTTAGCGCTCGGACAGCGTGAGCTCAGCCCAGGTGGCTGTCAGCTTCCTCCTCAGCCAGCATCGTGCACTCACGCCCAAGGCTGGAGTTGCAGTGATGGCTGGTCTCCTGCCTGGCCCTGGCCACTCCTGTGGGCCTCGGCTCTCCCACAGGGAGCAGTAGGAGCCTGTGCCGCGCTCCCCGGCCCTCATCCATGGGAGGTGTGAGCACGCATGCACAGACCAACAGATGAGCAGCTGCGCAGAGAGACACCGCATTCGGAGCTGTCCCTGCCAAGTGTGTGTGGGAACCCACACAGTCCCAGGGTCCCCCCTGCCACGGGGCCCCCAGCTCTGTGACTGGCCCCAGTCTGCTAAACCAGGGTCAGCTGCTGGACATGGTGATCTGGCTTTGGATCAGGCGCCCTGCTCAGCCTTCTGGAAGAAAAGCCCCTTTCTTCTCTGAGCCTCAGTGTACCCATCTGCGAGCTGAGATCATCTGCACCTCTCAGGACTGCACGCAGAGTGGCAGAAGGGGTGTGTGAGGAGGACGGGTGCCCCTCTGAGGCCTCTCCACGAAACCCTGGCTGGCAGGTCAGGGATGCTGGGAACCTACAGGGTGACCCTTGAGGCAGCCCACTAGCGCTGCTGCCCACTGCCACCCGCCTGACCACAGGCAAGGCCTCAGCATCCATCTCCCGGCTTGCCTGGCCACACCAGCTCCACAGAACCTGTGTGACGTGTAGGCTGCACTAAGCCCCAGGAATTGCAAGCTAGTGCCTCGCCTGCAGGGCTGTGCCTCCAGTCAGGGGGCCTCACAGGCAGGCAGAGCAGAGCTCAACCACCCACCCGGAAGGCTGGGGCCAAAGGCATGTGGGGACCCTCACAGGCCCTCCCCATGTGTCTGTGATTTTCTCAGCCATCGCTCACCCTGACCTCACACCGCAGCACCCTAGTGTGTGGCAGAGTAAGCGGGACATGGGAGTGTGCCAGGCTCAGGCATGAGGACACGGGCTGGGGAGAGATCTGGCTGCCTCACACTTAGCTTAGCTGGAGACCAGGAAAGGAGAGGATGGAACCACTACCTGCACCACGGGTGGCCCCGGGGAGACCACCTAGTCTCCTCAGAGACTCTCACCTTCTGCTCTTTCACCCGATGGCCCATTCTGGCTGGGCCAGGAAGACAGCACACCGGAGCCCAGTCCCAGGGCTGAGGCCCCCCTACCAGCAGGTCCCCGCTGTCCTGGGGTGGCCTGGGTGGCTGGAGAGCCCCGCCACAGCCAAATGGCCATGTGTTTCTCTCTTCTTTGAGCCCAGCTCACCGCAGGGGAAGCAGCTGCCTCCCCCCTTTCATCTGCCCAAAGGGTGTCTTTACCCCTTGAGAAGCCAGAGGGCAGGGTGCAGGGCAGGGTGCTCGAAATACCAGACCTTCCCTCGGCCTGGCTGCTGTGGCCGTGATTGTGGGGAGCACGTGGCACCTGCGTCTCCTGGTGCAGCTGTAGACAGGAGCAATCCTGGAAAGCCCACGGATGTTCATGCCAAGCTCAAATTAGTGATTTTGTTTTTCTAGTGCTAACTTTGAAATGTAGCCAGTAGAATAATTATGAGTTTATTATAGTCAATTTATTATGCAGCATTTAGAACAACATGTTTTGTTGATTACTGCCACTGCCAGATTGCCGGCGGCATTTATAATCCATTGTTTTATTGAAATTGATCTGCCGAGCGCCTACTGCGTTCGGTAAATAATAAATCACTCTGTTATCCCAACATAAAAGCCACAGCACTTCATCACAAGGTATGAAACCAGAAGGCAAATGTAGCGCAGAGTTTTTCCCAAAGCTGAGTGGGCACCGGTCACAGCTGGGCGCTCTGGGTCCCGGTCTTTGACATTGAGATTGAGTAAAACTACCTGAGAGATGAAAAGGAATGGTGAGGAGAAGCCGGTTCTTTCTGTCTCTGCCTCCATAGTCAGGTGTGAGCATCCCCACACACCTCACCGCTTGTGCACGTGTGCGCACCAACACACACACACACACACACACACACACACACACACACACGGAGACTGAGGGAGGGAGGCCATGCTGCATGATCGTGAGCTGAGAGCGGCTCCAGATCACGTCCTTGCCTCCCTGTCCCTGGCTGATCAGCTGCTCCTCTGAGCCTTGGTTTTCCCATCCATTACTCAGTAATACACCACCCAGCTCTGGAGAGATTCAGGGATGATGAGTGCGAAGTGCCACTCATGGGGCCTGGCACAGTGTGGGCCCTCGAATGGCAAGAGCTGTGGCAACACTTATTCCCACCAGAGCCAAGCAGGCCGAGGCCTCATTCTCTCTGTTCCTGGCCCCCAAGCCCACTTGCCAGCCCATGGCAGGCCTGGTTTATTCACTCCCAGCTCCTGAGTTACATGACCTTCCAGCTCTGTGTTTTCAGCACCAACGTCATCCACTGGCGCATGTGCCAGGCGGGGCTTGGGGCTGACCACTCCACTCCTACCTCTTTGCCCTCAGAGTAGCAGGAGCTTCCCTGGAGCCCATCCAGGGCCACCGTGGGCCACTGTCAGCCTCTGTGGACCATTGTCAGCCTCCCCAGGACACAGTCCTCACCCACCAGGGCCTGTAAATTGGACACGCTAGATCATACTGCAGGTCAGGCTTGTCAGCCAGAAATTAAGAAGAGCATTCAAAGGCGATTCCTTTCCCCAAGCCAGTGGCACCTGGGCCCATCCCAGTTTCTCAAGGACAGGTCCCACCCTAACTGCTCTGCCGGGATCCAGGGGAGGAACAGGAATGTGGTATGGCTTGACTTGGTCCAGAGCCGTGAGACTGTGTGAAGGCTGTGAAGTCTCTGGGGTTTTTCTGTGGCTCCCAGACCCTTTCTGGCTGTGCCCCTGGGGTTCCCCATGAACCCCGCCAGCAGGTCAGTGTCCTAGAGAGCCGTCAGTTGCTTTTGTTTTCCTTTATAAAGCAAGCAAGCAAACTTCTAAAGCGGAGTTACAAAAGTATGCTAATTAACGCTTTCCACATGTTCGCACAAAGGCTGGTTGGTGTCTGACAGGGTCACCAGAGGTCCGTCTAAATAAGAGTTCCTGCTGCATCCTGCCCTGGTCAGGCGGGCGTGCGCACACTGTGGCTAGGACTTCCAGCCCCGCGTGGTTATCTAGCGATCCCCTATGCTCTGCCTTGTCCTCCCATGGTCAGCTTGGGCTGTGGACACCAGAGCCCCCAGGCAAATGGAGGCTGTAAGGCCCAGCAAACTGCACCTGGGCCGCTCTTGTGCAGGACTCCAGGCGTGAGCCTTGCAGCTCCCCACCTTCCCTGACCTCTGGATGGGCTCAGTCCACAGGGCAGAGGTGCAGAGAGGTCCAAGATATACCTGCAGTAGGCTCTGATATGAAAAGCAAATGGGATAGGTATCCTCACCTGCCGCCTCCTGCCTCCCCCACCACCAGATCAGGTAGCAAGACTGGAAACTGTGGCCTCCTTCTGAGCCTTCTACAGCACAGGTCCAACATGCCCCTGGCCTGGATTGCCCAAGGTAGGCAGAATGTGGCTGGTTCCTGCTGAGCCGGGTCTTCCAGCCTTGGCCAGAAGAGGGCAGTGTTGTCTCAGGACCTGGGCCGGGCCTTTCTCTGGGTGGGTAGTGGTGGGCTGTATTGCCTGTGGGAAGTGGGCCTGCACCCCAGCTAGGGAGAAGAGGCCTGTTCCAGCCCCACAGTCAGCAGTTTGCTGATGTCCTCTCCTCTTCCCATGCTATGGACAAGGGCTGTGATGGTGAACCTCTTAGAGCTTTTAATGAAATAGGCGGCCCACTGTGGCAGGCTTGCTGTAGGGTCACACCACTGCCTAGGGCACTCTCTATCTCCTTGCCTTGGTGACAGCCAACCCGAAGCCCTAACTGACTGGCAAATGTGGGGACAATTCTCATGGTCACTGTTGTAGTTTGGGGTTTTACAAGGGGGAGCAATTTAATACAGGACACATAGTGTATAGAATTATTTTATAATAGTCACCCAAAGAGTTACATACAAAGAGGGCAGGAAATCCGTCTACACACTGAAGACCAAAAGACTCAAGTTGAGGGCCTGGATCCCATGGCAGTATCCTGCATGAGTCCAGCTGAAGACCTAGAGCCCATGACAATGCCCCCCATGAATCCAACTGGAGGCCCAGAGCCCACAACAATGTCTCATGCAGGGCTGTTTCATGGATCTGCACTGGGAGGACCCAAAGGTCAGTGGTGGAAGCTAGTAAGTCTGTGCCAGCAGGATGAAGGATCTGCATTGGAGCCAGGAAGCCACCCTCAAAGTAAGAACCAGAGCTCCCCCGAAAAGTACCACATCCCTCCTCAGCGACAGTGAGGTCCCAAGCACCTCCGATGATGAGAACAGCCAGGCTTCCATCAGGAAAGCCAGCGTGACAAGCTCCTCCAGGAAATCCAACAGCTCCCTGCAGCTTCCAACAGCTTATCTTCTTCCTCTCCAGTTCTTGTTTTTATGTTGTAGGCAACATAAAAACGGG